ATTTGATAGCGTTATGATCTGAGAAGATGCTTTGCAGTATTTCAATGTTTTTAAATTTATTAAGGCTTGCTTTATGGCCTAACATATGGTCTATCATGGAGAAAGTTCCATGTGCACTGGAGAAGAATGTATATTGTACTGCTATTGGGTGAAGTGCTCTGTAGATGCACTTCTATAAGTGGGTCTATAAGGCCCAGTTGGTAGAGTGTATTATTTAGCTCTTTTGCATCTTTATTGAGTTTCTTTCCAGTTGTTCTATATTTCAAAGAAAGTGTTGTATTAAAATCTCCCACTATAACTGTGGAGTCATCTAATTTCACCATCATATTTGAGGTACAATTTTGCCGGGTATACAATTCTTGGTTGGAAATATTTCTCTTTCAGGATTTTATATATACCACCCCATTGTCTTCTTGCTTGCATGGTCTCTGCTGAGAATTCAGAGCTTATTCTTACTGGCTGACCTTTTTATGTAACTTTTTGTTTTTCCCATGCTGCTCTCAGGATTCTGTCTTTGTCCTTGGTTTTGGTGAGTTTGGTGATGATATGTCTCAGCGATTTTCTTTTGGGGTCTATCCTGTTTGAGGTTCGTTGGACTTCCTGAATGGATATGTTCTCCTCTTTCATCATATTAGGGAAGTTCTCCTCCAGCAAATCTTGGACAATTTTCTCAGTGGTTTTATTTGTCTCTTCCTGTTCTGGAATTCCAATGACATGTAGATTATTTCTTTTGATGGTATCCCACATGAACCCTAGGCTTTCTTCATTTTGTTTTGATTTTTTTTCTGATTGATCCCTTTCCAAAGAAGTATTCAGGTATTTGTCTTCAATCTCATTAACTGTTGATTAATGAGTCTTCCATTGCATGAACTCTAGCCCTTTGCCCTTCCAATGTGTTATCTATTTCTAACAATTTGGTATTAATCTTCTGGATTTCTATCTGTAGATTTAGAATCATTTCTAATTTTTCATTTATTTTGTCATATTGTTCTTCTATTTTCTTCCAAAATTCTTCTAAGGTTTTTTCTGTGTTTTCTTTGGTCTATCTCTCAATCCTTTGAAGAGACCTAAATATAATTCTTTCAAATTCCTTATCTGAGTTCCAATGCTGCTTCTTCCTCAGTGATGTGTTCTGGGTCTGTATCCTGTTCCCTTGTTTCTACCACTTTATCTTGCTTCTTTGTGTGGACTGTAATGGTCTTTTGTCTCCAAGTCCTCTTGGTATTGTATTAAGATCTCTGTTAATTGTTTGTGAAGAGCAGCCAAATGTGATTCAGGCTTTGCTTGGTGTTTTTTTATCGTTGGCCCATTGGTGGAGAAGGAGGTGCTGGCTCTTGCTCAGTAAGTGAAGTTGAAGGAGGTGTGGATGTACTTGTATCTTATGGGGACTGTTGGTGTCTCCTACTCAATTAGGCAAAAAATACAACTGAATAACCATCAACAAAACTAAAAGCACATGGACAAAAAATACACCCTGAAATCACATAGGAATAGTAACCCAAAAAAAGAAAAATGGGAGAAAGAAGAAGAAAACAGGTAAACCTGCATTATCTGGGGAGAAGTCACTAAGAGAAAAAGGTAGAGAAGGAGAATAATGAAGAAAGAAAACAAACAAACAAAAAGCAAACACAAAAACAAACAAACAAAAAAACAAGGAATGGGGTTAACCATGAAAGGAAAAAACAAAAGGTGTAAACTAGGACCTTTTCAGCCATGTAGTGCAGTTTTGGATTCTTGCGGTTACTGGAAAGCAGAACCTCTTCTTAAGCCCCTGGAATCTGGTACAGTGTTGTCTGTTTAGGTTGTCTCTAGCTGCTGGTTACGTGTTGATTTGTTTTGTCTTGGTTTTATGGTTTAATATTTTGAAAAGGTGAAGTTGGTGTGTTTTATTTTATTATTGATTCAGGTGTGTTGGGTCGCTCTGCTGTTTTCTTTGTGATGGTGGAATCACTGTGTGTAGTGTGGATATGTGTTTCTGTTTTTTGTAAAGAGGGTTTAGAATTCAAAGCGGGAGGTTTTATGGTAATTGGCTGAATATGGTTTCTTCTACTGAATAAGTGAAGTTATTGGCAGAGAAGGTGGTGGCAGAGAAGGTGGTAGCAGAAGAAGGAAAGCTTGGTGTTGCTAGGGTTGGTTTCTAGGGCTTTGAGCAGGCTATTATTGATGACATTTATTTGGAAGACCGTGGCTCAACCTCAGGAAAGATTCCTATTGTTAGAGCATTGCAAATTTCTGCCAATTTCAGGTACACTCAAAGACCCCGCCTCCATGGCCCCACAGCACCAAAGAACAGCTCCAAGGCAAAATTTGTGGGACCGCACTCAGCTGCAGTTTCTTTGCTCTCCGTGCCCCTTCTGCCCGCGGTGCTGATGCAATCCCGCCAGACCAGTAATAGCCAGCTCTGGAGTTTGTCTGTGATACTGCCCACCTGCGGCGCCAAAGATGCACGCAATTTCAGCTGCGTTTGAGTCGGGGGTACCTGCTAGTGACCTGTGGTCCCAATATCCATGGCAAAGAAAACATGGTGTCTCCCATTCTGCCCCAAATCTGCTCTGTGATCCGCTGGGAGGGGAGGGAGCTAGCCTTTCTGGCGCAACAGTGAGATCTCTGCCTGAATCTCAGCAGTGGTGCCCATGCCCACCTGCACCCAGATGACCCAATTTACCAACAAAATCAGCTGTTGGAGGCAGGTCTCTGCTGCTGCCTGCTGGAATATGGTAGTGGTCGCTGGTATGCTGCTATAAGGTGTCTTCCTTCTTGGCTTGGGGATCTCAGGTGGCTGCCCTCCCCCGAGCAGACAGTGACTGTCCCATGAAAGTCTCAAGTGGTCCCTCTTGGGTTCCCATCTGTCCTCCACCAGTAGCTCTTTCCTAAATAATCTCCCTGTGCCTTTCCTCTAATTCTGCTCTTCTGTGTTTGGTGCACTTTGATTCAGTGAGCTGTTCAGAGCACCAAAATTCCTAATTCAAACAGTTGTACCTAGTTTTCAAAGTCCTTAGATGCCAGAGGGAAAAAGCGTGCTGCTCACTGGCAAGACTCCATTTTGAATCTCTCCAGTGTCTCTTGTTCATCTCAGCAAATTGTCACAGTTCCTTCTTTGTCTCTTGGGTTGAAGTAGTTTAGCACAGGGATCGCATATCCAGGGAACATGCTCCACTCCTGGCTATTCTTTCTTGATGGTAGTGGGATTCCCCCTTTCCACCTATGGGATGGCTCATTTTAAGCCTACAGTAATGGAAAAACTTGCCAGTCCTCATGTTAGGGTTCCATACATCTTATTTCCATGGTCCTACCCACACAAATTTGCTATGAACCTTATTCACATTATGAACAAGCTATTCAGTCCTCCTGGTGAGCCACAAGCACCTCACATCTTTATAGTCCCACCTAGTCACCTGGTGGGAGTCAAAGACAATGGCTAAAAGGGTCATATTAACTAATTCACTGCTCTGCAAATGTATGCTATAAAAATTGTTTGCAATGTAATAGATCATGCAAACGTTGTTTCAGGAAACTTAAACCATCAATAGTGGAATGTATAATAGTGTAAGGATGAATATTTTTAAATAAGTTCCAAGGACTTGACATCATTTACAAAAACTCTTCCACCCAGAAATGATCAGGAGATTTCAGAACAACATGATCCAACAATAAGCTGGATATTTCAGGGTGACTTTTTGCAAAGAGGCTACTCCCCTCACCCTTCTTTCTTTACCTAGAACACCTGGTCTAGTATACTTCTGTGTGCCTCCTTCTGGTCTATTATAAATGTAGAGGCAAAAAGAACAATGCCTGTTATTTTCCCAGATATTTTCTGCTTTGCACACCTGAATCAAGAGCTGTTCTTCCTCTTGATCTACTAATAAGAATAAATGGGATATCAGAGGGCCATCAGTGAGAAATGAGCTTCAAAGAGTTTGGATCCTGTGCCTAGAGAGAATTCTGCCTCTCTGTTCAGTGTCTTCCTTAGGAGCTCTGGTGACATAGTGCCTAAGGCATGTGACTGCTAACCAGAAGGCTGGTGGTTCCAACTCACCAGCCACTCCTTGGAAGGAAGGTTGGGCAATCTACTTCCATAGTGATACCGCCTCGGAAACCCAAGGAGGGGTCGCTATGAGTCAAATCCGACTTGACGGTCATGAGAGTTTAGTTCCGTGTCTTCCTAGGTGATGCTGGGCTACAATGTCTATGTGATCATTGTTTGTCAATCACAGAATACTGTGAGTATTTAGAATATTTTTTCCTCTGAATTTCTGTGAGCTACTGAATTGAGGTCCTTAATGGGCTAATACTTTTAGCTAGGTCTGAACTTAAGAAGTGAATGGTATTTAGGCTCAAGTGAGGAAGCTGAGTTTCTATCAGTGAAGAGATGAAGCAAGAAGAGAATTGCTCATAAATTTGCTACTGCTTCTTTTCTTTAGGTTCCGACTAAAAGGTAGTTCTGTTAGTCATTGTGTCTCAGATGGAATGAAAAGTCTTTGGAATGCCAGTGTTCCTGTCTGTGAACGTAAGTAGAAGGAATGACTAGGAAGCCTGAGTATCTTTCTTTCTTTTTCTAGTGTGCTTTGCCTTTTGTTGTTTGCATCTCTGTTCATTTAACTGAATCACTGATAGAAATAGTTCTTTGTTGAGAGGATCTTAAGAAATACCTTATAGGTCTTATATACCATATGCTTATAATACTAATTTGTAAGTCACTAGTATAATGGCAATGTTGAATTTTGTAGGGAACATGTGGGGATAAACTAGATAACAACCAAAAAACCAAACCAAACTCACAGCTGTCGAGTTGGATCCAACTCATAGTGACCCCTCCTTTGGTTTCCGAGGCGGTATCACTACAGAAGTAGATTGCTCAACCTTCCTTCTGAGGAGTGGCTGGTGAGTTTGAACCACCAGCCTTCTGGTTAGCAGTCAAATGCCTTAGGCACTACGCTACCAGAGCTCCCAGATAACATAAAGATGTATCAAATTTTGTTCATTCATTTAATTTTTTAGTTTTGTTGTTTTATCCTTGTCCACATTTAAACTACTTATTCAGCCAGTTATTTAGTCCAAAGTGTTACTGGGAGGGCTTGCCAAGAGCCAGGTCCTAGGGAGAGAGGAATAAGTGAGAAAGAGTCATCCATGCTCTCATGAGGTCTATTTTCTAGTTGAGGTAGCAGGTAATGAAAAAGGAAATAAGCAAATAAAAAAAATTAGAACATATAAAATGGTAAGTTAAATAGTGATAAGTGCTATTGAAAAAATAAAACAGTTATGTGATAAATTACCATGGCTGGAATATCTTGTTATAAATCTATTTGGACATCTTATTTTGAGTATGGGGGCTCTGGTGGCATAGTGCCTAAGGCATTTGACTGGTAACCAAATGGCTAGCAGAAAAAGAACAATGCCTGTTATTTTCCCAGATATTTTCTGCTTTGCACACCTGAATCAAGAGCTGTTCTTCCTCAAACCCACCAGCCACTCCTCAGAAAGAAGAGAGGGTAATCTACTTCTGTAGAGATACTGACTTGGAAACCCATGGAGGGGTCACTATGAGTCAGATTCCACTCGATGTCAGTGAGTTTTGGGGTTCTTTTGTTGTTGTTGTTTATTTTGAGTATGCTGATGAAACTTTGTAAGAAATTTCAACATATAGAAACTTAGGTATCCAAGAAACTCATCCTTCTAGAGACACTTGAAGCTGAAAATAAACATATGTAAATAAACTTTGGGTAAACCCAAACAAATAGATGAATTCCAGAAATAAGGAGTCACTCACTGATGTACAAAGGCTCTCCCTATGACTCTATACACAGCTCTGACAAGCTTAGGTACTTATTTCTAAATCCTCACCAGATTAGAACCACCCAATTAATTTTAGTGAAAGGACTACTCAAATCAGATACACTAGAAGAAGGAAGAAATGACAGATGAATGCTTGGGGGAAAGAAAAAATTGAAAGCAAATCAAAGACACTCTGGAGACATTTAACTTGGGTGTAAAGAGCTATCCACGTATTCTGATGACTCTTTTGGATATTTGGTAGTAAGTACTGATTAAAATGGTCTTGGAACATCGAGAAACATTTACATCTGTTGACAATAATTTGTTGTTGTTGTTGTTGTTATTTGCCGTTGAGTCGGCCCCGACTCATAGCGACCCTTCCTTGGGTTTCCAAGGCAGTATCACTATGGAAGTAGGAATGCCCAACCTTCCTTCCGAGGAGTGGCTGGTGGTTATAGTACGTGTTTAATAAACTCCACAAAGATTTCCCTGGAGCATAAAGTGTTTCGGGGCCAGAACCTTGTCTGTCTTATATCCTATTCCCATTATCAGCTCAGAAATCTTATGATACCTGACATAAAGTAGATGGTCAAATGTTTGTTGAATTTAAAAAAATATATATATATTATTTTCCAAAATGTTTACAATGAATATTTAAAAATTTTTATTTCTTGGAAAAACTTAGCTATCTAGAGGGTCCAAGAGAGTTGAGGGTCTTCTGGGCCTTTCTAATAAACTATTATTTAGTTCTCATCTTACTTATTTCCTTCTTAGCAAAAGCCTTGCATATTTAAATTACATTAATCTTACCTATATACTTTAATGGAATAAAAATTTATTCTCAACACGTCACCAGACACCATACAAAACCTGATTAAAACTCTAATGGAACTTTTTTCTTCTAGAAATCTTTTGTCAAAATCCTCCAGCAATCCTTAATGGGAAACACACAGGAAATCCTCTGGGAAATATTCCCTATGGAAAAGAAATATCTTACACATGTGACCTCAACCCAGACAGAGGGATGACATTCAGCCTCATTGGGGAGAGCACCATCCGCTGCACAAGTGACAGTCAAGGGAATGGAATTTGGAGTGGCCCTGCCCCTCGCTGTGAACTTTCTTTTTCTGTTGGTTAGTGCACATTCCCCTGTGTCCCACATGGATCAGAATATGTAGACAAGAACATCAACTTCCTTATCTGTATAATGACAGTCATTTCTGCTTGTAAACATGGCTCTGTTATGAATGACAGAGACAGAACTACCTGCAGGTGAAAACATACAGGTTCTAAATGTGCCAAGCTGTGTCCCAGTTTATAATATTCCAGTGATCCTTCCTGTTAGGGCATAAGGAGAGTGGGATGATGACAGGAGGAGAAATCAGAGAGGATCAGATTTTGTAGAGAATATTTTCAAAGCACTGAAAACAAATGCTAAAGAAAATAATCTTGTATGCTATCTCTATTATTGGTTGTCTTTACTCTAGGTGGTATAAAGGTGTGCTGAGTAAAAAGTACATGTTAATGGCAGTGATTTACTTTAGAATTGAGAATGCCATAGAAATATTTAAAGAAACTCACACATAGGCATTTATACTCCTTTTGTTATTTCTAAGTGTTTTGCTCATGACTGTGTACTTTGTCAACGCTTCACTGAACCATTAGCAAAGTGAACTCAGGATGCCCTGAGAAGTAGGGTACCTCTATTAGCTCTGGTGGCATAGTGCCTAAGGCATTTGACTGCTAACCAGAAAGCTGGTGGTTCAAACCCACTAGCCACTCCTCAGAAGGAAGACTGGGCTATCTACTTCCATAGAGATACTGCCTCGGAAAGCCAAGGAGGGGTCACTATGTGTCAGAATCGACTGGATGGCAGTGAGTTTGTTTGTTTGTTTTTCAATCTAAATGACAGTACCTGATAGTCACAGGGTCATTTTTGGCTGTGGTTAAGCACACAAGTTCCATTCCTCAGTGAGGAGAGAACATTTAATTGGCAGCTCACAGATACCTGTGGTACTCTCATCTGCTATAGTTTGCAAGGAGAGAATACAGAAGATCATTATTGAAAGCTGAGAAGTCTGGGTTAAAAGAATCAGTCTTTCCACTCATCAGCTAGCAGTTAGTGGCTTAGGACTTGGCTACATCAGGTCTTTATATGCCTCTAATAAAAACCAAAACCAGACTCACTAACCTCGAGTCATTTTGACTCATAGCAATCCCTCCTTGGGTTTCCGAGGTGGTATCACTGCAGAAGTAGATTGCTCAATCTTCTTTCCGAGCAGTGGCTGGTTTGAACCGCCAGCCTTCTGGTTAGCAGTCAAATGCCTTAGGCATTGAATGTGTTGGCTTGTTCATATTTCTATGCTTAATTGAATGTCCTTTCGTGTGTTTATGTGATAACTTGCCTTCAGTGTGCCCACAACCACCCAAGATCCACAATGGGCATCATATTGGAGGACATGTATCTTCATATCTTCCTGGAATGACAGTCAACTACATTTGTAACCCCGGCTACCAGTTGGTGGGAAAGGCATTCATTTTCTGTACCTACCTGGGAACTTGGAGCCAATTTAATCACTATTGCAAAGGTACCTGATTTCCTTGTATTTCTTAATCTTGCTGGGTTAACGTTATTTTTAAATGGATGGATGAGGCTAATAAGGCTGAGAGATCATTTCTTAGAGGATAGTGAAATAATTATCAATAGGCTAGTAGGAAAAAAGAACAAAAGGCAAGAAGAAAATCTGCTCAATGATCCTCAACTTGACCAAATAAGTAGAAAGAACTAATGGAATTTCCAGTAATGCAATACACATCAAACCCCAACTTCAAATGCTTTATTGGCTTTTAACTATTAGAATATTTTAGCTATAAAGGACTTTGGGGGCCATAGGTAGTTCTCACAAATACCCTTTGAAAGCAAATAAGGAACTAGAAGCATACCTTATTGTCAGGAAAATTGAAACTTCAAGTGAGGGGGTGTCTTATCAATAATACATGAGCAAAGGTTTTGAGAGCAATTAATCCTTGACATTACTGGATTTGGGGTCTCCCTATAATGCCCAAGAACAAAGGTGGGGAGTTTATTTAATCTCTTCCACAGAACAAGTCCCCAGGAATTATTTCCTTTATACCTGTCTGTGTTTTCAATTAAAAAAAAAAAAAAAACAAGAAGAGGACATGATTTTAAAAGTCTTTGGCAACATTCTAAAAAGCTACAAAATGGGAATTAAAAAATCATATTCTATGACTAGTCACTGCATTGAGCACTTTACAGAAGTTATTTGTGTTATCCTCAAAAGAATCATATGAACTGGAATTATAAATATTCTTCTCTTACAGAGGAGAGAATTGAGGCTTAGAAAGGTCCAGTAACATGTGCACACAGCTCATGGGTGGTGGTATAATGATTGGACCTCAGCTTAGCTCCTGATTTTAAACACTGCCCTATGTATGTACTGTTTCATTTTAAATGTGTTCCTTTGACTTTACAAAACTTTAAGTTAAGTGATTTTACTTCTTGTATTTTATTCTTTTCTTTTCAGAAATACTAGACTAAGGGCAGGGGCATGGTAGGAGGGACTTCAGACATGCCTGTGTGTGAAATATTAATGAGCACCCACATGGCTTTCCCTGGTTACAGGATCAGAGTCTTTCCTGTCCTAAAAGTCTCAGAAATAAATCGTTCAGTCCCCTGGCTTTCTCATTTTATAGACAGAAAAAATGAGACCCCACCACAAAAATGGCAAGTGACTGTCCTGTGTTTATTTGCTAGTATGGAATGAACAAAAAACGGAGTTTCTGTGACTCTGCAAATACCTGAAAGTTCATCCCTCTTTGCTTTAGTCACATAAAAAAATATGAAGATTCAGGGAATATTTCAAAGTTAATTGTACAAATTAAGAGTCTGCAAAGGGTCATTTCTTAAAAATAAAGGAGTACTATTCTATTCATTGAGGAGCTCTGGTGGCATAGTGGGTAAGGCATTTGGTTGCTAACCAGAAGGCTGGAGGTTCAAACCCACCAGCTGTTCTGCAGAAGGAAGATGAGGCAATCTACTTGCATAAAGATTTACAGCCTTTGAAACCAAATGGGGGTCGTTATGAGTCAGGGTTGACTCGATGGCAGTGGGTTTGTTTTTGTGGTTTATTCTGTTCACTTGGTAACTGCTTTCTTTTCATCTGTGCAAATTTATTTTGTCTTAACTGTCTTCCTCAAACATGTCTTATGGTAGTGGTTCCCTATCTTTACCATTATCAACATTAGCCAGGCACCCTGTGTAAAAGGTAGATTATTAAGCTCCATTCTCATGGATTCTGACTCTGATTTTTATTTATTTATTTTTTTTTTTTTGAGAGTGGGGGGTCTATTTTTAAAAACTCCATCAGAATATTTTGATATAAGAAGATCAGAGACCACACTTGAAGAAATACCACTTTGCCTTGTTGATTCTCATAAAGAAAAAGAAAAATATAGTCTAATTTTAAGACTATTACAATTGAAAAGCTGACTTCATTTGAAGTTGGAGGGGGTACTGATGGCTGGGCAAAAACAGAGAGTGAAACAAACCCAAACCAAACCAAACTCATTGCTCTGAAGTCAATTCTGACTCATAGCAACGCTATAGGACAGAGCAGAACTGCCTCACAGGGTTTCCAAAAAGCCTATAATCTTTACAGGAACAGATTGCCACCTTTATCCCCCATGAAAGCAAAAAAACGAAGACCTAAATGAGATAAAGTAAATTAAGTAGAAAAATTATATTTTAAATTCAGAATCATGATTTACTAATGTATTTGTTCTATATATAGAAATGAATCAGAAACATATATTTTATCAAAAGGCAAAATACCAATATTTGTTGTATATACAGAGAGATTTAACATGATAATCCTGTTTTCTTATGGTTAAGCCCATATCAATCCAGAGCTAGAACATGGTTACCCTAACTCCCGATTTTTCTAACTTCAGAGGTAACATGTAGCCTCCCACAGTCTATGAATGGAATCCGGAAGGAGCTGAAATACAGAAAAGTTTATCACTTTGGAGATAATTTTACTTTGGAATGTGAAGATGGGTACACTCTGGAAGGCAGTCCCCAGAGCCAGTGCCAGGAGGATGACAGATGGGACCCTCCTCTGGCCAATTGTACATCAAGTAAGTACAAGTGCTCAGAAGGAAAGTGGGCCCTTCCTAGTCATGTTTACAGTTCACTGATTCAACCAAGCAGGCATCAAGTGTGTGTAAAGTGTATATGTACTAGAAGCTAAGGAGTACCCCTATCTCTTCCTGAACAGCCTGGAGCAATTAGAGTGAGGCAGGTCTTGCTTTCCTCAGACTTCTCATTCTACCCCAGGGCTACTCTATTTCTCCTCAGAAGCCACTCTCAACTTTGTTTGTTTATATCACTATAGTTAAGCCAGGAGCTCTGGTGGCATAGTACCTAAGGCATTTGACTGCTAACCAGAACTCTGGCAGTTCAAACCCACCAGCCACTCCTCAGAAGGAAGGTTGGGCAATCTACTTCCATTGTGAAACTGCCTCGTAAAATAGTTAAACCCATCACACAGTAATGATTTGTTTACAACCTATGGCCTTAAAAGCCATGAGCATATCACTGGTAAAATAGGCCTTCAGGTAATGCTTCCAGGATGATGGAGCAAGATGGCAAAGAGAGTAGACACTCCTATTTACTCCCCTGATAACTAACGCACTGAACAATGAATAAAAAGCACAGAGATCTCAGAACTGCAGACACCAGCTGAGGGATTAGAGCTTCTCTGTGGAAATGCCAGAGTTGTGAGTCTCTGTGGATGTGGGCTACATCTTTCTCCCATGAAACCGCTATTGGGTGTGGAGCCAAGCATTTTGGTTGGCAGCCAGGTGCTTGGCTGCTGTTCCACCAGGGCACCAAATCAGAAATATTTCCACAAAATCCAGAATACAAAAATTTTTTAAAAAGGATAAAGAGATGGCCCAAGTTAAAAAAAAAAAAAAAAGTAGTAAAAAACCACAAAATTACAAAAGAAGAAGGACCAATCAAAAGCAAAATATGAAGAAGAAATTTCTCCTATGGAGGCCAGGTTCACAGAAAGAATTGATAATTTTCAGACTATGGTGCTAAATATAACTATACAGGAGAAGAAAACAGAAAGAAAGAAATACACAGAAAACAAACCAGTGGAGATCGGGAAAGAAATGGAAGAACAAAATAAGGGACTCAACAGGGAAATTGAAAACATAAAAAAAGAGAAAAAAAGCTACTGGGACTGAAGAATAAAGCTACTGAATTAGAAAAAGCAAGAGAAATAGTCAGCAATTAAGTCAGACAGAAGATAAAATAAGTGACCTGGAAGATGAAATAACTTATCCAATTTCAAGAGAGAAAAACAAAGAAAAGCAAACAAACCCAAAAGGAAATATGATATTCAATTAATAAACCTCACATTAAAATCATTGGGATCCCAGAGAACCATGACAACAATAAAGGTATAGAAATGATTTTCCAAGAGATAATCAGAATTTCCCAGATCTGAACAGAGAACCAAGCTTGCAAATACAGGAAACTATGTGAACCCCAGTTAGTAGAGACATAAATAGATGAACTCCATGCTATATCCTAACAAAATTCTTGAAAACCAAAGACAAGAAGAAAATTCTGAAAGCAGTGAGAGGAAAACATAATACCAAGAGGCTTTCATAAGAGTCAGTGCAGATTTCTAGAGGGGTACATGGGAAATACAGACAACAAAGATGAACCCCTTTCCACATACAGTACTACATTGTCAGTGATGGCAAACACTGATCTACGGGTGGATAGTTGGGTGGACAGGCTGAATATGTCTAGGCAGGGGGGAGTGTGCCCATGACCATGTATAGAGTTGGAAGATGATGTTTCTACAAGCATATTTGTATGTTTTTTAACAATGTCCAGGTACATGGTAGAGCTGACAAGGGACAAGGTTGTACTGACTTCTTGGCCACAGTCAGCTACCCAGAGAAAGTGAGTAGTTGGACCTGTGGGCTTGGGACCATTGTCCCAGGGGACATCAAGCTCAATTGGCATAACATACTACACAAAAACATCCACATCCTACTTTGGGGAGTAGCGACTGGGACCTTAAAAGATTGCAAGCAGTCATCTAGATGCAACGATAGGTCTCTCCTTGTCCCGAGCAAAAAAGAATGAAGAAAACCAAAGATACACGGAAACAATTAGTTCAAGGGACTGGTACACATGCAGTCCTTAGCCTATATGACCATGGGACCAGAAGAATGAGATGGTACCCAGCTACCACTACCAACCATTTGGAGGGGGATCTGTGTAGGCAATCCTGGATCAAGTAGGAGAACAATGTGGAACAAAACTCAAAATCATAAAACAAAAAAAAAAAAAAATAGACCAGGTTTTCTGGTCTGATAGAGCTGGGTAAAACCCCTGAGACTATGGCCCCTAGCTGCTCTTCAGGTCTGGAATTGAACTCACTCCTGTGGCTTCCAGACAAATAAAAGACAGGCATATGGGGTGAACATTTACATCAGGTAGATACATTCGTTGGAGAGATCAATCATGGGAGAGCAGAAGGGAAGTGTATGCATAGGGAGACAGCTCAGTGGGCAGGAGTGCATGAGAGGGATGGACACTGGGAAGAGGTAACTACAGAGAGGAAGTGAGAAGAGAGCTATTACATTGTGGGGAATTGCAGTCAATGTCATGAGACAAAATGTGTATGAATTGCTATCTGGAAAATGAGTTTTCTCTATAAACTTTCACCCAAATCACATTTAAAAAAAAAAGCGGATTTCTCCCCAGAAACTCTGTTGGCCAGAAAACAATAGTGATATATATAAAATGTTGAACAAAAACAATTGCCAGCCAAGATTTCCTTACCTAGCAAAGTGGTCATTAAAATAAGAGGAAAGTCAAGAAATTCCCAAAGAGAAACTCTGATGAGAATTTACCACTACCAAACTAGCTTTGCAAGTATTACTCAAGGGAGTATTCCAAATGGAAAGGCAAGAGCATTAAATAAGTACTCGTATCTCTACATGGGGGAACAAAAAAAGAGAGCTACAAAAAAACACAATAATGGGCAATCATAAGGACTAAGTATATGATGTTTTCAGAGAATACACTGAATAATTAAATCCTACAAACAATACAACATCAAGTAAACTTATTGAATATAGGTTGTATACTGATGTTAGTGGAGACACACCAAAAGAAATGAGGGTGGTAGGAGCATATCAGGAATAGATTTATTATATTAAGGTTATATGTTAACTGTTTTTCATATGTTAAATGCTGTTGCAACTGTAAGATGTGTAATGTAACATATGCAGTAATTACTAAGAAATCACCAATAACATTCGGAAGAAAAGAAGGAAGAAAGCAAAATGGCTCATCACAAGAAAGCAGCCAAATAAAACAAAAACAGAAAAATCAGAATGGAAAAAAAGAAAATGTATTATCATTCGATAAAAAAAAAAAAAAAATGAGCAAGGTAGACACAGTTGTCACTAATAATCTTAAATTAAAATGGTCTAAACACCTCATGAAAAAGACAGAGTGGCAGAATGGATAAAGAAACATCAATCTCTCCTTTTGCTGTCTACAAAAACACACCTTAGAGAAAAGGATACAAAAAAGACTGAAAATAAAAGGATAGGAGGAAAAAAAAAAAAAAAAAAAAAACTCCATGCAAGCAGTTAAAAATAGGAGAGGTGGCCATACTGATATCAGATAAAACAGACATCAAGTCAAAATCTATCACAGGAGATAAAGAAGGACATTACATAATGTTAAAAGGGTCAATCCAGCAAGAAGACGTAACAATTATAAATATATATGCACCTGATAGCAATGCACCAAAATGCATGAAACAAATATTGATTAATATGAAAGGAGAAATAGACAACACCACAATAATATTAGGAGACAAGCACACCACTTTCAACTCTAGACAGACCATCTAAAAAGAAGATCACAAAGGACATTGAGAACCTAAATAAAATCATAAGCCAATTAGACCTAATGGACATATAGGAAACACTCCACCCAGCATCAGAACAATACATATTCTTCTCCAGCACACATGGATCATTTTCCAGAATAGATCATATACAAAGATGCAAAACAAGTCTCAACAAATTTAAAAAGGTTGAAATTATACAAAGCATCTTCCCTGACCATAACGGCGTGAATCTGGAAATCAACAACACGATTCTATGCATGTTGCTGTTGTTGTTATGTGCTGTCTAGTAGTCTCAATTTTATGCATAGAAGATCCTATAGATTCCACAAGAAAACTGTTGGAACTAATAGAAGAATTTAGCAATGTTGCAGGGGACAAAATCAACAAAGATTAGTTGCATTCCTCTACATTAACAAAGACTACCCTGAAAAAGAAATCAAGAAAACAATACCATTTACAGTAGTCCCAAATCAATAAAATACCTAGAAATTACCCTAACCAAGGACATAAATGACTTATACAATGAAATTTATAAAACACTACTATAAGAGACTAAAAGAAATCTACAGAAATTAAAAGATATACTGTGCTCATGTATTGGAAGACTTAATATAATGACTGTGTCAATTCTACCTAAAGCAGTCTACAGATACAATACAATTCTGGTACAAATCTCAACATTTTTCACTTAAATAGAAAAACTAATGACCAACTTCATATGGAAAGGAAAGAAACCTCAAATAGCCAGAGTAATGTTGAAGAAAAAGAACAAAGCAAGAGGGCTTACAATCCCCAATATCAAAACATATTATAACCAAATCAAACTCACTGCTGTCGAGTCGAATCGGACTTATAGTGACCCCTCCTTGAGTTTCCAAGGCAGTATCTATGGAAGTTGTTGTGTTGTTGTTGTTGTTAAGTGCCGTCGAGTCGTTACCGACTCATAGCGACCCCATGCACAGCAGAACGAAACACTGCCTGATCCCGCGCCAGCCCCACAATCCATGCTATACTCGAGCCCATCAT